GCATTTTCTAACATGTTTATTATAAAAGCAGCAAAATTAATGCATTTCATTTAATTATTCCATTGTTAATTGATTGAGTCCGTATCGTGTTAATTATCAGAACATGGAAAATCTATTGCTTTCATTTAATTTTATTCAAATTTTTATTTACACCGTTTATTTATTATTATGAGCGTTTGATATAAATAGAACTGGATTATAATACTTGAAATAAAAAAATATTTATAGTGATAAGAATTTATGTCGTATTAAACTGTTAAAGAATGAAAATTACGTGTCTCAAATTATAAATTAACTTGTAATTATTCTAGTACTAAAATATTATAGTACACATATACATACACATATATTATAGTCAGTATTGTTGTTTAGGTTTATCTAACTTTCTCCTTAAGTTGAATAAACAACGAATCATTTGCGGTTCATTGAAAAAGCAATTAATCTTTAAAATTAAATTATAATGATTTATGAGACAAACTGGTTTTCTGAATGCTCTGGGAATTATTTGTTAAAAATTTTTTTGTATTATGATGTTTAGTAACGTATATGATAATAATAATCTGATTAACTGCTATTATATAATATTTTAGTTAGTCTTTAGTACTATTCAAGAAAATGCAAATAGAAAATGTCGAACCTACGAGAAACCACAACATCATTTTTTTATTGGACTTTTCTTTGCTATCTTATAGAAGATATTATTTCTGTATATTGCTATAATGAACATTAGATAAAAATATGTTTGCACCTATGGTATTCGAAAAATATGATTGCATTTGTCCTATTTAATTAACCACCAATGAGAAAATTGAGTCTTAGACTAGGTTCTTTAAACACATTATATATATTAAAATTTTCAAAATTACTATTGAAAAATGTAATAGAAAAATATTCTCTTTTTCTAAATTATTATCACTTATTTTTTTAATTTTTTAAGCTATGTGATGCAATTTGTTTTACCGTATACTTAATTGTTCATCAGTATGTCCAAAATTTAAATCAAAATTAAATATACTTGAAGGTATAATAGCTGCAATTTTTGGAAGATCACGAAATACGAGAATTTAACTTTTATATATTACTTAGTTTATTACATATGAATTTTTACACTTATATGAAATAATATGATGAATAAATATCTCAATAAACTAATGCAGAAATTTATAAATTACTTAGACATTAAAATGACAAATCATTTCATTAAATATGAGTTTTTTCATATAAAATCTTTCATAGCGTTTGATCTTATCTAATACTTTACGACTATCAAAATACTTAATTTTTTTCTACTAATTATTACTTGAAGCAATATTTTTTTTATTTACATTTTCATTTAAAATCTATATGTTTGTATTTTCATTTTATTATATTGGCCATGAAGGTGGCAATCTTCATGGCATTGATCTTTTACACCGGTTTGCTGCTACCCTGTAGAGAGAGTAGCGGGATTTGGATCGGACTTATTTTTCTCACTTCTTAAACTGAAGTTAGCTTGACAACATATGTAATAAATATACAATAAGGATATTTTCTTCAATTAGGCCCTAGTAACAACAAATCATTGGTGTTATAAACAGTTGGAAAAAATACATAAATTGTACCAACAAATCGGTGCTTATTACATTCCACACCTACAACAGTTAAATTATAACCTAACAAGTTTATCGAAGGAGGGATTAAATACGCATACACACCATGTTGAAATATTTTTTTCTAATTATAATTTAAAGCTATTCATATCTTATTCACATTTCCTATCTGAATTATATAACAATTGCTTAAACATTTCTCTCGAATTATTATTTGTAGCTATATCTTTCTTATTAACATTTCTATCTAAATACTGAGCCAAAATGTCCAAATATATTTTCCAATTATTACTTAAAGCTGTATTTCCATCATAAATCCGTATAACTTCACAAATTAATATTTCTTTGATGAACAATGAACAAATATTATTGCTAAGGAACCGAATCGAATGAGAGTTTAATTAAATGAAGACCCGCTGCGTTCGTACGAATCAATTTAACTTTAAATGGTTTCGATACGCAAATTCGCTTTTGGTCCTTAATCTGAAACAATCTATTTATTGAATTCACATCAAACAGCATATATTCCAACTGAATCACCGGAATAATTAAATTATACTACTACAATTCTATATAGTACAAATCCAGATATATTGTACATTTTTATTTAAGGATTATAGTAATTAATAAAAGCTTTTATGCAATACAATAATTTTGAAGATAATTGCCTATGTATAAAACTTAGTGTAAAATCCTTTGGTTTATTAATACATCTGTAAATAATTTTTATAATATTATATTTTTAATTTTTTTTGTTATAATTTATTTTTCTTAATCAAGACTTTAATTTTAGAATATTAATGATTAATGATATGAATTAACA